TCTCCACCTCTGGATTTTGTCAATGGCAGGTGGCCCAACCTGGTCTGTTTGGATGCCCCCCTTTCCCAGCCAGGTGCTCTTGTACTCCAACTGGCTATGGGGGCGGGGGTGAGGAGGGAACTGGTGGGAGACAGGGAGACACAGCTGCCTCCTCATCCACTGTTAGCGTTTCCCTCTCTTCCCCCTAAACTCATCCTTTATCCACTGGGAATGGCTTCCAGGTTCCTGATGGGAGCAGAGCCCCTGCCTTCCCTTTACTTCAAACAAACCCAGTTGGAGCTGCCCAAGAGCTGGGGTGGGAGCAGGGGCTCCAGAGCAGCTTATCTGAGGCAGGTGGCTCCGAGGTGGCAGGAAACGGTTTGTTTGTAGCTTTCTTTTTCCTGCCATTCCAGACTAGGAGGACTTTGCACTTTCACCCTGAACTCGGTTAAGTTTGCCCCGTGGCCTCGTTTCCCAATATCCAGCCTGGTCTTATTTGTAACCTGGGGTTGCAGAGGAAGTCCCGTCAACTCCTCTGTGCACAGTGTTCAAAGGACGAACCGGCAGCCTGAAGACCCCTGGGAAAGCTCAGGGCTCTCAGGAGGGTGGCCGGGGGGACACCGTCATGGCTCATGGCAAACACGCAGCGGACCTACCAACTCAGTAATAACAGTTATGAGGACCAGGACAGCAAATACGCACTTTCAGTAATCACCCGAGGTGGCTCTACACCCAAATGTGGTCACTCACTTATTCAGCAAATAAGCTTTGTGCACCTGCCATATGCTGGCACATGCTAGATGGCCGGGCTGCTCCATGGGGAGGCAGCGGGAGGGGGCGGTTGTAGCTATGTGTCCTGGGCTCACACTGCCCCAGTTGGAGGGTGGCGTGCGGGTCCTTGTTAGGAGGGTGCGGAGAGCATAACGGAGTCCTTCTGATTAGGGAAAGGGTTAACATCAGGCGGGGAGAGAGAAGGGACTCTCAGGGAGGCAGACTGTAGCTGCAGGTGGGAGGCTGAAGAAGCAGATGGGGTTCTCCCCGTATAAAATCCTTTATGGGCACCCTCCCCCCATCATCCAGGGCATAAGCAGGGGGGATCTAAATAAGACAGGCAATCTAACCCTAAGGCGATAGATGCGGGCTCTTGGCGCTCCCCTAACCACCTTACACCTGGGTTAGGGAGTGATGACCTGTGAGTCTGACCACAGATGCTCACCCCTTTAAACCAGGAGACGCTGTATGGCCGAAGGAGTGGAATGTCCAACCCCTAAGACCCCTCTGGAGGGGCCTGTTCACCATCTACCCCCACTGCCGTAGAGGTAGCCGAGGCGGGTCCCTGGATTCACTACAGCAGAGTGAAGCCGGCATCTCGAAACCGGGAGTGCGTTCCTGATCCCGCAACACCGTGCAAGCTCACCATACTGAGAAGCAGTCTGCGACCCCAGAGGCCCTGGACGCCGCAGCCCTGCTTTAGTCACTCCGGAAGCTGACTTCCCTATGCCCGGCAGAAGCTTGAGGAATCGTGGTCCGGTGGAACAGACAGACTGTTCTTATTTCCTATATCTGGTCCCTTACTGTGATGCACTGTCACCCTTGTTTCTTGCTGTTATTGTGACTCTTGCTCTACTCTTCACCGTAGACTCGGCAGAGGCCGCCTCCACCGGCTGGGAATATGGTGAGAAGTTTCTGTCAGCACTCACCTGCCTTTTGGGGATAGGATGCTTCGTTGGCATCAGCATGGGGGATCAATGGCCATGGGAGGCTAGAGAATTAGATCCCCGTGAACCTTATAATGGGACAGAACACCCCAGCCCTACTACCGGGGTTTGACTCCTCAAAGCCTCAATTATTGGGGGAAAAAAAAAAACTGTCTTGCCCGGTGGGGAAGGAAGTTCACTGCTTCTGTTGGAAGCTGAAGATGCCTAGGCCAAAGATTTTATAGCTCAACTTCCTGGGAAACCCAATGGTGGGGGGACCCCAGATCACCTTGAGCCACATCCCCACCCCTTGTCTAACTTCTCCCCTCCAAGAAGCCTGGGACAATGTCAATGGAGCCATCGAATGGCGGGCCCCAGGGGGACTAGACTGCGTATGTGGAAGCCTGTACCGTACTTCCCTCAGGGTGGTCAAGGTCATGTGTGCTGGGAACTATTTGTCCATCTTTCTTCCTGATCCCACTTGCCAGAGGGGGACATTTGGGAGTCCAAGTGTAGGGAGACAGGGAGACTCAAAGGAAATGACATGTTCTACAAACTGGCCGTTGGAAAGATGACGAATGGCCTCCCGAGTATATAATTCAATATTTGACCCTGCCGCCTGGGCAGAGGATGGGTCCTGGGGCTACCGCACTCCCATTTACGCACCAAACTGCATAATCAGATGGCAAGTAGTTGTAGAAATGATAACCAACGAAACTGCCAGAGCTCTTAACTTACTAGCCAAGCAGAAAACCAAAATGCACAATGCCTTCTATCAAAATCGCTTGGCCTTCGATTTCCCGCTTGCTTCTGAGGGAAGAGTTTGCGGAACGTTTAACCTGAGCAACTGCTGCCTGCGGATAGTTGCTGATGGAAAAGTCAGAGAGGAGACCACAGATCGAATGAGAAAGTCGCGTCCCGGTCCAGACCTGGAAAGGTTGGGACCCCGGGGAGTTATTCGGGGGGATGGTTTTCAACCCTTGGGGGATTCAAATCCCTCCTGGGAATTATCCTCTTGATTTGGAGAGCTTGCTTAATCCTACCTTGCCTAGCTCCCCTGGCTATATGGTCTGCCTCCAGCCTCACTGAGGCAAAGGTCGAAAGAAAAACAGCCGTGCATGTAATGATGTTACAAAAATATCAACCTCTAAATCAAGATGATGCTCTTTGACTCAAAACGGGGGTGGGGTTGGGGGGGGTGGGGGGGGTCCGACCATCAAAGGGAGGGAATGTGGTAGGGTCCCCTCCCTAAGGAATGTGGTGAGCAAAGACCTCAAGGTAAAGGAAGACAACCTGGCTATGTGCATAGGTGACATCCCTCACGACCCTGTAACAGGAGACCACCCGATCAGACTGTACGTCTCATACGTTACCCATATATAGGAGACAGGGAAGTAGAAAGAGCAGAAAAGTTTACACCACGTGGTGTTCAGGGCTCGGTTTTTCGGATACAAACCCTCTGAGCCCGTGTCGGCACCAATAAAGCTGCTTCCCGGAAAGAGAAGTCTCGGTGTCACGACTCTCTGGGTGAGAATCCTGCTACAACTCACGTCAAGCACTGATGCAAACTGTAAAAGGTACCCAGCTACGAGATCTCACCAAGACCGGCACCAGCTGACAACACCCCAGAACTCGTAACAAGGAGAAGCAGAGGAGGTCCGCAGGGGCAGAGACTGATCAAATCCCTCCAAAAAGGAAGGATTAAAAAAAAAAATTTTTTTTTTAATGTTTATGTGTTTTTGAGAGAGGGAGAGACAGAGCGCAAGTGGGGGAGGGGCAGAGAGGGAGGGAAGCAGGCTCCAGGCTCTGAGCTGTCAGCACAGAGCCTGACTTGAGGCTCGAACCCACGAGCGGTAAAATCCTGACCTGAGCTGAGGTCGGACGCTCAACCGGCTGAGACCCCCAGGCGTCCCTAAAAAGGGAGGATTTTTGCAGCAAACTGTCAGCCTCCTCAGACACGACCCTCTCTGACCGTTTCGGAAAGGCACCTGCCGCCGAAGGCTCTGAACAGAACTGAGATCCTTCCCTGCTTGAACATAGCAAGCACGGGTGCCGAGAGCTGACCTGGACCGGACTGAGGCCTTATCTCAACTGCGAACCCACGGGCTGACTTTGCGTCTGGTTCCTTAACTTCCCACTCTCTGGGTTATCTTGTTGTGTGATTCTTATGTTCTGCTCCGTGCACCGTGTAAGAAGCCGAGTTAGTCACGTGGCGAAATGTCATTGAGTCTGGAATCCTGAACCTGCTTCTGATCACGTCCACCTTGCTTTATGACTGAATACGGCGGACGCTGTGGAAAGACCCAATCTGTGTGCGCGCCTTCATAGCTTGCTGGTGACAGAGGTGCCGTGGGATCAACCCCCAAGAGAAGGAGGCAGGACTGGGCAGAAGGAGCTGAGGCCCAACACGGGCCTCAGCCCACCCATAGGAACGCTGAAGCTAGAATGGCCTTACAGGGTTGACCTGACTTGCTCCACGATGGCCAGGCCTTAATGCCCCATGCTGGGCAGTCCCCGGATGTGGGCTACCCTCTGGGCAAGGTGGCTCTCCAGAGCTGAGGCAATCTTAAAAGCACTCTTAGCTGAGAAGCTGGCTGCAGACCTTCCCAGGAGCGGGGGCAGAGTCCTTCCTCGAAGGCCCATCTGGGTAGCACATCTGGGCGTCGACCAAGCGGGCTCTGCAATCTGACTCCACAACTCACTCCCTGTGTGACCTCGGGCAAGGGGCTCAACCCCTCTGAGTCACGGTTTGCCCATCTGGCGAAAGGGGGTGATAACTGTACCCACTTTGTAGTTATCGGGAGGATATTAATTCTCACAACAGGGAAACCCATAGAAAGAGCTCTCAGCGCTACTGTGTGATTGTTATTATTTCTGGAAATTAAAAAAAAAAAAAAAAGTAAGGTCTGGCCTTGAGGGAACTTTTATTTGATTATTTGGTTTCCATTACAGTCCAGCGTGAAGAGTGCCTTCCTGAGGAGATCAGAAATGGCCCCAGACCCTCTCTTGGGAAGGCCCCCCAAAAGGCAGGGATGTCAAAGCTGGGACCTGCGAGTCGCGCACGAGCGGTCCAGGCAGAGCGGGGAGAGGGGGTGGGGAGGAAAGAGGGTTTCGGGCAATGGGAGTAACATCTGCAAAAGCCCAAAGGGGAGAGAAAAGAGCTGCAGAGGGGCATCCAGGGTGTGGCGGGGAGGGGACAGCAGCCCCTCCCTGAGTCATGAACACTGACCTTGGCAAAGGGAGGCCTTTACAGAGGAGATGCTTTCAGCCGTGAGCATGGCCTGTCCCAGTCTGGTTAGCTGGGGCTGGAACCAGGCAGCGAGGATGTTCCGGGCCTTGGAAGTGAAGGCTGCTGGGCAGAGACTTGCCTTGACCTCCAAGGCCGGGAGTGTGGGCCGGCGGCCCCTGCCTTGGAGCCCTGCTGAGGCCCTGGGCTGTGAGGTCCTTATGGGCACTTGGCAGGGAACGTCCTGCCCGGCTGGGGACTGGGAAGCATCCGCTGCTAACACAGAACTCTAGAGGGAGGAGGGGTCTAGGTGTTTCCTTCCACTGGCTTCCAGCCCCGGGAAGTAATCTGAGCACTGTGCAAGGAGTTAGCAAACCCTTGAACCAGTCACTTTACCTCTCTGGGTCTGGGTATGGTTGAAGCGGATGGTGCATTATTAGCAACCCGTTGCCCTGGTATCCTGAGTCTGAGGGATTTTCTTGCAGCTTCTTCCCTCTTACAAAATCCCATCTTGTTTACTTTGATCCCTGCTTATCTTTTCTTTCTTCAAGGGGGCCATTTCCTATTCCTCCTTCCTCTTGACCTCTCAAGGAGCTCTCAAGGCCACTTCGACAATCAGCCGCCTCCTCTCCTCCGCCCCCTGAGAAGGAATCAGAAACAATAGGCATCATTTCCCCGGCAGCCTCTGTCCCATGTCAAGAAGAGCCATCTGGCACCGTTGCAGTTTTCCCCAAGCTCACCACACCCTCTGCCCTGCTGTCCCTCGTGACCTGGCTTCCCCACGACAGGCCAGCAGAGGCCTAGCCCTGGCCTTTGCCCCAGCCCTTCTGTCCGCGGCCTCCCAGCCCTGACCTGGGAACTTTGCTCCTCTCGGGAGGCTCAGCTCAACGCCGCCTCCTCCATGAAACCTTCCCTGATCTCAGCTGCTGGAATGAATCAGTTCTTCCTGCATGTCCTGGGTCTAAGCCTTCCTTTTATTCTGCTCTATATTGGCATCAATTGATAACACCTGTGATTCTCCGTGCTGTCCCCGGCCTGAGGTTTGCATACAGTAGGTGCTGGATGAGTGATGGGGAGGGGGGGGTGCAGAAAACCAAGGAAGAAAAGAAAGGAAATGACGCAGATCTTTCTAGGAAGTTTTGTGGTGCATCTAGAGAAAAACTGATCCCTACTTACGGCTTTATGTACAACATAAAACACAAAATCTGTGGAGTGTCGTGAGCCCCAACAATTCCACGGGACAGCTCTGCTTAGGCACAAGGAAGTAGGCTATTAACAAGGTATCCCTGTGTGATCGCTGGCAGCACTAGAAAAGTCATCTGGGAGGAACCTGCTGCTGCACTCAGCTGCCCCTTGTCCTGAGTATGTGTGGGTGGTGGGGACACTGACCAGGCCGTTCACGGGTCTGGTCACGGGGGCTGCCCTAGGTATGATCGGGAAGTGAGTGGAGTTTGGCCTGACTGAGGGGCAGCAGGACGGCCAGAGGGAGTGGAGGGTTCAGGGTAGCCTGGGAGGGGACGAGTTCGGGGAGCTGGGAGCAGGCCATGGTGCAGGCCACGGGGGTCATGGTGGTGACAAGGCTCTTGTTCAGAGTGAGGCAAGGCGCCACTGCAGGCTTTGAGCAGACAAGGGCAGGGCCTGACTTCTGGGATAACGGCGCCTTATGGTGAGGGACTGTCGTCAGCCCATTTCACAGATGAGAAGGCTGAAGCAGAGGAAGCGAGGGGCCCAATCCCCGCCCACCCCACTGGGGGATGTGATTCTGTCCTAGCGCCCTGCTTCCCGCCATCCCACTCTGCGGTTACGGGTCCCTCTATTGGTCGCTTGCTTGTCTGAGGCCTCACTCCCACCACTGGAATGTAGGCTCCGTGACAGCTGGGACAGTGTGGTTCACTGCTGCATCCTGAGTGCCTCGGACAATGCCTGTTACATAGCAGGAGCTCAGCGAGCCTTTGCTGATGTGTGGACAAAGACAGCCCGGTGGGGGGGGGGGGGGGGTGCTGGTGTGCTGGGTGATGTTCTCTGGAGAGCTGAGCACTCGAGGTTCCCTGGGGAATTCCTGGGGCTCTGAGCCAGCCTGAGGCCACATATGCGGGTTTCCGCCTGGTACCTCTCCCTGTCCCACTATGGCGCCGTATCTTGGAGAGTCAGAGAAGGGTGCCTGGCTGTGTGACACCCTTCGTTCATTCTTCCTTCTTTCTCATGCTCAGTCACTCACGGTTGTCCAACCAGTGTTCCTTGAGCACTCCTCTGTATACTGGACTGGAGTGGCTCACCAGTGACCAACACTGTGGCTGGTGCCTGCCCCCTTGGACTTTGGCAGCGAGGGTAAAGGAAGAGGAAGCTTTTATGGGTTCTTAGAATAGGGTGAGGGAAAGGTGATGGAGCCCACTCCATGGTGAAAAGCCACCCCTAGCTGCGGTGGGGACAGGGCGGGCCTGGGGTGGGCATCCGAAGGGGGGCAGGGGGGCGGAGGCTCTGGGTTGCTCCGGAGACAGAGTAGCCTGGGCGAGGAGAGGGTGAGGGCTCCCTGGAGCCCCGCTGGGGACGCAGAAGGGACAGGATTTGCCAAGGTGGGTGTAGGGATGAGGGAAAGAGAGGAATCAAAGAACTCACTTGGATTCTGGCCTGAGCCACAGGGAAGGCACGGGCTGGGGGGGAGAAGCACAAGAATGCCAAGAGTCTTTTGAGTTCAAGGCCAAGACTGCTGTTTATTTGTTTAATTTCTACAATGCCTCTTCTCTGGGCCAGAAAATACAATGTGCAAGGCCAGGCCCCAGGGTTTTCTGCCGCAGCCATGGTATTTCCTGTGCCCTTGTTGTTACTTTTACGCTGGAACCTGGGGGAGTCACGTGAGCAGCCCGGTCCCTGACCTTGGCCTCCTGCGGCAGAAAGGGGACTCAATGTACACACTCTCCCCGCTGGTGTCTCCTGGCACTGGGGTCTGCTGAAGGGCACATCCCAGGCCCTCCGGGCAGGAGGAAGGGAGATGCCTTAGGTACATGCGCGCGAGGCGGGGCTGGGCGGGGAGAAGTACACGCGTGCCTGGGTGGGATGCACGCCCTGCTAGGGGTTTAATGTCACGTGGGATTTAATCCTCATAACAACCCAACCACACAGGTATTATCCTCACTATTTAAACAGGAAAACCGAGGCGGAGAGGCCTCACCAAGTGCATCAAGCCTTACAGGAGATTGCTCAGGCCAGGCGGATCCCAAACCCCACTCCCGCAGTCATGCTTTTCCTTCTCCGGGAATGTGAGACACTTTTTCTGCTCTGGTCTCCCTCTCACCCCAAACCCCCAGCCCCACATATCCTATTCTGGTGGACTGTACTCCAGATGGCTCTCCAGTACTACCTGTCTTCCCACTTGAGGGTCTGTGGGTCCTCCATGTTGTTTTTGCCCCAAACTCAACACAGAAGCTTCCAGAGTGACAAGTGGCTCTTTTGCCCGAGCAAGGAGATGTCTGTGCTGTGGCTGACATCACCTGCTGTATCTGGATTAACATGTGTGGGGAGGCTGAAACTCCTTTTTGCTTGATGTTAGGTCACTAAGCAAGCCACTTGGCTTAAAGGGGTGTGACTCTTTCATGGGCACCGGGGTGGCTCAGTGAGTTAAAGCATCCGACTTCAGCTCAAGTCGTGACCTCACGGTTTGTGAGTTTGAGCCCCACATCGGGCTCTCTGCTGTCAGTGCAGGGCCCACTTTGGATCCTCTGTCCCCCTCTCTGTCTGCCACTCCCCTGCTCGTTCTCTCTCTCCCTCTCTTAAAAATAAATAAAACAATAATATATATATATGTTTTTAAAAGGTGCGACTCGGGGCACCCGAGTGGCTCAGTCGGTTGGACATTCAACTTCGGCTCGGGTCATGATCTCACAGTTGATGAGTTCAAGCCCCACATCAGGCTCTGTGCTGACAGCTCAGAGCCTGGATCCTGCTTCAGATTCTGTGTCTCCCTGTCTCTCTGTCCCTCTCCCGCTTGCTGGCACTCTGTCTCTGTCTCTGTCTCTCTCTCTCAAAAATAAATAAATAAACATGAAAAAAAAAGGTGTGACCCTTTCAATGGAGTCTTTGATTGGTGTGGGTCTTGGAGACCATGGCTCTGAATTCACTCCAACTATTGGGAATCACCTTGCTTATAGTTATCACCATAACCTCCCTGGTGCAGTGTATCCTCACAAAAGCTTTCAATGCCTATTTGCAGCCAGTAAGTACCAAGCGGATGATCTCCCTGAGCCTGGAAGAGAAGTGAAGGTAACGGCTGACTTGGGGTTTGCAAACCTGAAGTTGTAGCCTGTGAATATCACAAAGAATCGGCAAGAAACATCACGACCTGTGAATACCACGCAGATGATCCATACACGCTGTGGGAGCGGAGCCGAGAGTGGCTCCAGTGCCTCCAATTCTGATCACCTCTCTCGGTTAAGAGAATCTGATCAAAGGGGGCAAATTGCTAAAAAGAAAACCACAGGCCTCAAATGGCATCACTTGGGCCAAGTCACCAAACCGGGGCTTGGTACCTCATCTAATTGCAGCTTCAACCTTCCCCAGAAATTTAAGGCTTAACACTCAGTGGGGGTTTTCTGATCAGTGCCCCAGGGAATCTGTCACACGGGTCTTCTCCACCGCCCACCCCCCACAGGAAGACGAGGTCATCTGCATGTTAAGACCCCCTTCACTTTCCCCAGCAGAAAGTGATCTTGCCTGGGATAATCCTTTTCCTTCGCGAATATAACTCTTTGCGCCACCCTCTGGAATTCCTATAAAAACCTTCCGTTTCGTACACCTGCTCCGAGCTCCCTTCTACTTGCTAGATGGTATGCTGTCCAATTCAAGAATCGGGCCGATTAGATGTTAACATTTACTTGGTTGAATTTTGTTTTTTGACAAAGGACAGCAGAGGACTTTCTACCTGTTTTACTTGAGCTGATAGGATCTTGTTTGTGAATTAAGGTTTATGAAATCTACTAGGGGTTTACTCAAAATAAATAAATAAACTTAAAAAAAAAAAGAGTAGGGGAATGTCTGGATGGCTCAGTCCGTTGAGCGTCTGACTCTTGATTTCAGCTCAGATCATGATCTCACAGTCCGTGGGATCGAGGCCCTAGGGGGGCTCTGTGCTGACAGCATGGGGCCTGCTTGAGACTCTCTCCCTCTCTCTCTGCCCTGCCCCACTCTCTCTCTCCCTCTCTCTCAAAATAAATAAATACACTTTAAAATCTACTATGAGTTTCATGAGGACTCAAAAAAGACAATGGTTGGTTGGAAAAGCATCCCACTCATAGAAATCACTTAGTGTTTGCAGCATACATTTTAAAATTTCTCTTTTATGATCTAATCACAGTATGTGCATAATAAGTTTGATGATTGATGAATGTATTCTTGTTATTCTTAAACCCTTAGTAACTAATGTTGAGAAATAAAGGGGAAGAGAGGTGGAGTAAATTTTGACACTTCTTTTGTGAGTCCTTACGGGTTTTTAGAGTTTTCTCGTGAATCGTCTTAATGATGTGGAGTTGTTGAGCACAAGAATTCAAGAAAGAATTCTTGAGACGTTTTATGGTGCAAAAAGGGACCTTTGTCATAATACAGGGACAGGACCCATGGGCAGAAAGAGGTGCACTTGGGTTGTAAGGAGTGACTGATTTTATATGTATATATAAATATAAATATATTTTATAAATATAAATATATTTTATAAATATATAAATATATTTTAATTTTTTAATGTTTATTTTTGAGAGGAAGACACAGAGAGAGAGAGAGAGAGAGAGAGAGAGAGATGTGGTAAGTGGGGGAGGAGCAGAGAGAAACAGAGACACAGAATCCAAAGCAGGCTCCAGGCTCTGAGCTGTCAGCACAGAACCCGATGAGGGGCTCGAACTCAGGGACCATGAGATCATGACTTGAGCTCGTCAGATGAATCTTAACGACTATGAGCTACTCAAGCGTAAGAATCTTTCTTTTGGCTCAAGGCAAAAGTTATTTCTCTTCTTTGTATCTTTATATCACTAGACTCCCTTCCCACAGGACCTTACTTACTTTCTACCTTATATTTATTTACTTGTAGATTTCTTTATACTGTAAAAAGAAAACAAAGCAAACAAACAAGAAAAACCGCATAGGCTCAAGATGGAGTCACTAATGCCAAGCCAAGTCACCAAACGGAGGCTTAGTGTTGCAGGATTTTTTACCTCAATACCTGGGGTTCGTTGTCTCACTCCTTCGAAGAATGAACAGGTGGATACAAAATGAGCAGCCAGGAAAAGTTTATTAGCGTATAAGATCAGAGAGAAAGAAAAGTAGGGGCGCCTGGGAGGCTCAGTCGGTTAAGCGTCCGACTTCGGCTCATCTCATGGTCTCGAGGTTCGTGAGTTCAAGCCCCGCGTCGGGCTCTGTGCTGACAGCTCAGAGCCTGGCGTCTGCTTCAGGTTCTG